CCAGAGTTTCTGAGCCAGCATTTTGGTTGCTAAGCAAGAGCGTTGTTAAGTGAGTTTCACCACATTTTATGTTGGCCATGCCCAGCTTGCCAGTCACATGGCTGGCAAGCCACTCCCACTCAGTCACATGGCCAGCAAGCCACTCCCACAAAGCAGGCCACACCTACAGAAGAGGTTCTAAAAAAATTTGAAACCCACCACTAACTTGCATGGTACCTGTATGTGGTCTTTTAGCATCAGCTGAAGAGCTTTCATTATTGTCTAGTGTTCTATATATATTATTAAATCATGAAATAATATAAACATTTTAGAAAATGTTTTTGTTGTTAATGTTCTATTTATTTCAATTTTGTTATTGAATTCTTCTATACTGTAACTGAAAATAGCAGTGCACACACACTGAAAACATCCTTTTGGGGTGCCCAGCAAACGGGAAGACTGGCAGCATGTGTGATACAACAGGAAGAAGAAATACATACACTTCAGCATAAAAATAATAGTCAAAGGTATAGGAATGCAGTGAACTGGTTCCCATTAGTGCTTTATTTGACCTAATAAGATGTAATCTAATCATATCTATCTTACATGCAACTGATTTAAATGGGCACTTGCTTAGCATGATTGAGATTAAATACAGTTTGGCATTGAGGTCTTGATTAAGCATCAACTTAATGCTTTTATGTTGAGCATCCTTGGCTGTCCACTGATGCCAGTTATTGTGATGAATGGTATCAGAATCTGGATTATTTCAACATTGGACCCGGATCTAAACCAATATTTTTAACCAGTCATATTTCGGAGAAAGAATTTCTAAGATATTGCTGTTTTTTTATATACCGGTAGATGGCATGAGAAAAATATTTACTTACACTTGTGCATTAAGTACACAGGCTTTTATCTTGCAAGTTCTTGATAAGATAAGGCTTTTACCATGCAAGTTCTTTCAGCCCGCCCTAATCATATTAAGAGCAAGTTCAGGGCCATTATCTTTCTCCTTGTATTAAAAAGGGTGCTTATAAGTATTTTCATTCCTTATTTTGCCTGTTCAAATAGCTGAAAGCTTTGAATGCTTCCGAACAAGGATATTAATTGTGCAATCCTACAGCTTTGTTCAAGAAATGTTAGACACGCTCTAACTAGTAGTGTCAGACGCACTCTACTGTTGGTAAGCCATAGAGGTTTTCCCACAATGTCTTTATTCTACAAGGAGAGGAGAGGGAAGGGCAGGGAAGGAGAGCAAAAGGAGATGGGGAGATGGAGGGAAAGAAGAAGGAGGGAGGGGGAAAGGACTGCCTTTTGACTGGAAGTACACAGAATTGTCAAAGTGAGAGCTCTGGTTGTCAGAATTATTCTGAAAATTAAATTTCATTTTCTAATTTATGGAAAGTAACACTGAGCAAGGTTCTACAGTTCTACAGAAGCAGTTCTCTCTTCACAGTAGTTTGAGGATTGAATATTGCATTACAGTGGTTTTTAAACGTCTTGTGGAAAGGCAAAACAAATTTATGTGCAAAACATTTTAATGAGTGGTTTCATTGTCTGGTGAAATAACTTGATTTTTGATGGCAAAATGAAAGGAGTGTTGAAATATTTGTCTTCAAAGATATTTGCCTTTTATTTATTCCCCACTTCCTGTCATAAGATTGTTTTGTTTGATTTGTTTTTGTCTAGTAGAGTTACTGTATAGCATTATTGTGCCGGTAGGGGTCAGAGCTAACATAGAAAATAAACATGTGTTGTTTGTCTATTTTGTTTTCCAGCTTTCACTAGGTCACTGGTGCTTGAGGCATTTGAACTGCAACTTGCTTTCATTCTAGGCAAATCAGAATTTGTGTTGGTATAGCAATTAAATGTAACCAATGAATTCAGAGAATTGGGAGAGGCGGAAATGCCAGGGCTATTTTAAACAGCAGTTTAAATGCTTTTTGTTAATGCTTATTTAGCAATGATACACATACTATTTTCCTGTATTAATCTGAATGAAAATCAAATTGACTAGGGACGGTATATATTTCCTCCCATATTTTATAACTTATTTTTCACTATTAGTATTCCATTTTAAAGTTTGCTCATACAGACAACACTAATTCTTAGGGTTTCCATTCGCTGCTCATTTCTTGATTCATTTTCTGCTTTGCTCCATTTATTTATGTGTAATCAACAGGAAAGAACATCCCTTGGGTAATAAGTGTTTTACATTTGAAGGCACTGCTAAAAATGCTTATATGAAATTTTTTTATGAAAACTAGTGTGTGAAAAATCCAAACGCTGAATAGATCACACACAATGTTACTTTGCCAAATTTACTAAAAAAACAACTTTGAAACTTCATATGCTTAGCTTGGCTAAAAGAATAGTATAACAGCGCCAGCAAGTAGAACACTTTGTAAACAGTGCTGTTTCCAATAGTAAAACACTATTTTCAAAATAAAAGTATTTCATTTCATTTTTATTGAACATTAAAGTCAGCAATATGAATTAGAACATGAATATTTATAGGAGAGATAGGTGGCATAAAAATTTAATGAGTAATAAATATTAATGAAGAGACCTTTGTCCCCTGCTACAATACTTTTAGACAGTTACCTACATCTAGTCTGTATGCTAGCTATATGGTTTTTAAAAATGATCTTTATTTCTGTATTTACTGACTGGAAAATTGACAACAAATGTATTTTGCCATCCATCAAGCTTAATGGTTATGGTGACCCATTTCAATTTTTTATTTCCTGATTAGATTATCAGTGTCAATATCGAAGAACAAATATTTACACCTAATAAAAACCAGTCATATTTTTTGAAGTGAAACCATTGATTACTTAATGTATTTTAGTTGCTGAAATTTAGACATTTTTACTTCATTTCTTTTTGACAGGACCCCCGCATCCAATTATCTATGTTTTTAACACTTTTCCCCATACACTGACCAGATTGCCTGATTACTGGTTATTTATAAAGTGTCTGAGAGAGACTAGCATACAGAATTGTATATATTTCCAAAGATATGTTTTAAGCAGTTGAAACATAAGTCATGTTTTAGAAACAAAGAAACCACCCATTGATTGTTTGAGTTGCACAATGTAGTGATGAGAAAAAGTTTCTCATATTGGTATTAGAAAAAAATGCATCAGGAGGAATGGAGACAAAATTGAACTTGTGATGATCTCTGACAAGAATGTGATGGGGTGCCGGGCCCACTTTCAGCAGCTTTATGGTATCCTCCTGATCTGCCTCAGAGGATTAAGAATGGTGGAGAACAGAGTTTTGCTGTTGTTCTCTTAAAGGCGTAGTTCCAGTAGTTGGTGA